CCATTCAGTGGCAGGAAAGCTTATCAATTCCAATATCATGTAATGCTCAAACTAAATTTAAAATATTAAAAGAACTATTTGGTCATTTATGTGATACTTGGACAGTAGAAGCGAAGAAACAAAAGTACAAAAAGACACCTATATGTAAAGATATTTGTGTATACGTCTTCCACGGCTGGTAAGTAGTAGCAGACTCCACTTACCTCAATTTTGGATTACAGATGTGATCTTCAAGCAATGCTAGTAAGTTTGTTCAAAGGTAAAGTAACAAAAGCCAAAATTTGAAAGAAAAGAAGGACTCGCGTCTTCACAAAATTCAGCTGTTATACCAAGATGAGTTAGATACTACTGACTTCTTGATTGTCTAAGTTATTACATATCCTGTTAAATATAAGGTTCACAAAAGCTGCAGGCATTGTCCAAGGACCTAAATACTGTTATTAACTTATTATCTTAGATTCTTTACATGCCTGTCAATGTTATGTATAGTATAATCTTATCCTTTCCAATATTCAAGAAGGCAGTAAAACCAGAATGGTAGGTAGAGGAACAGCTTTAAAATCAGATTAGGGATCTTCCTCGAATTTGAATAAATACATTGCAATATATCAACACACAAGTTAAATGAGAAGTAAAACATAAACCCAATTTGAATTAGACAAAATCAATTTGAAGCATCAACCAGAAGTTCATCAAACATGAAAAGAACATACATACGCAACATAATATCACACTAGTCAACAAAAGCTGTACATAAAGCAGCATATCATAAAGCAAATAGACAAACGCATAGGAACAACTACAGTAGAGCAATCAAAATATCAAGTAAAATAATACCATTGATTCTCTTGGAGAATTCATCCCACCAATCCACAGGACCTTCCTTCTCTGATGACCCAGAACCAGAAGCATTTTCTTCAGGCTTCTTATCTGCCTTCTTTCTCTTTCTGACCCCCCTCACAGGACCCATCAGCGCACAAACACTAAATCGAATCAAAACCCAGAAACCCACCAGCTTCAAACAACAAGAAGCATATAAAGCCTGCTAGAATTCACAGAAAAAATCAATACCCATTTGCCATGATACATATATGTGTTCACCAACAAACAAAGAGAGGCAGAGAGATCAACAGAGAATGAGGAATATCAGCAACTAGTCTATGACATGCAAAAGCAAAAGAGTTTGTAAATAGTTATAGCTAGTTGCAGCGTGTTAATGGCTGTGTGAAAGTTTTTGAAACGTCCAAGAAAATAGAGAGCTTGATGAAATAAGAAGAAGAAACAAACAGAGAAGCTGTGTAGGAAGTGATAGAGAATCCAGGCTACACATGTGGTGTTTGTTTAAGACAATGTGGCAGAACAAGTGAAAGACATGGACATTGCTACTTTGGCTACAATATCTACCAGTACACACAAAGAATTCAGAGAGAGAAGAGAGAAGAGAGAGAGATAGATGTGTACTTTAGAGAGGTTTTTGCTTAAATTGCCTCGAGTCTTCCCTCAAATTTAACAAAAACCAGAAAGCAATTTTCTCATGCTTTTCGATTTATATATGTCGGATGAACAAATTGAGGGTCAAGTTACAACGTGAAATGACATATATACCATTAACTCCTAATATTGGCCAATTCCTGTAATGGAAAAGGATTGTAATTTCTGTTATACATGGCAACATGGAAAGGTGGATATTTTATACCCTCCACCACTATGCTTTTTTACTTTCATTTTTTATTTTTTATTTTCCCCTTGTTTAATAAGAAAAGAAACCTCCAAACTATCAATCTTTCTTTTTACACTGCCACTAGATATTTAGAGGAGTGCAAAATTTGATATGAATTATTTGCGCTTTCCATTTATGCTAACCCTTGTACTCTCCTTTATTAATGCACTTAAAACTAAAAATACTTATCTTAATTTCGTATTATTTGTTACTAGTTTGTTTTTTTAAATTCAAATAGTGTGTAATTCAAGTAGTTAAGGGCATGTTTACGTATCAATAATGTGTATGGAAAGAAATGGAATGATTTCCATTCCTGACTTCTCTCGCGTTTACTTGCAATCATGAATGAAAAAAATACATGAGCCCTACCTCAAAATCCGTAATCACATTATCTCAAAATTAGAAATCGGATCAAGTAGAGAGAGTAGTTGATCTGATTCTCATTCCTTTTTTCCTTTACTACCTTCCAAAAATACCATTGCCACTTTACAATAATTCCAAAACACCCCAAAGCCTTAAAAAAAATCAATGACTATTTATTAATCACCACTGGAAAAATCAATTTTTTTCCCTTTCCACCTTGATTGCTAGCCTCTATTTATCTTCTTATACTTTTTATTACTATGTCATTTTTTTTTCAATTATATTCCTTATATTATTATATATTAGTTTTTCATCACTCGCCATATGGTATCTTATATAATATATTAGTTATAAAGTAAAATTTTGTCAATTTATTTTTTTATAAGTTATTTAGATGAAAAATATATATTTATATGTGCATGGTATTTTAGTTATCAAATTAGTTTAGGTTCTGATTCATGAGAATTAATAAACAATAACAATGATATTCAACTCCATTCATGTGATGATTCTATATAATTAGTAAACAACTTAATTGAAATGATTCTTTCCATACCGATTCATTACTTCCTCCATTCTTGATAAGTAAATGGCCCTTAAAAGTGTCTACTCATACATATGAAGTGTTATGTTGGAATCTCCCTTCTTCAAGTAACGTTTGTATATAAAAAACCGAGTTTCGATTACATTCATGTTCGCGGCGCATGTATGTATGTGCATAAAGCAGATATTCGTATTTGCTCCATTAATGCCCAAGTGCAACACACTCGCGAATAACACTCCTCTTTGTCTAATGTATATGAAATTAATTGGTAACTGCATTAACACGAATTCGTGCCTACAAATAGAGGAAATAAATAAAGCCCTACGAAAAACAAATCAGCAAAATCGGTGCTCATTATGAGGTTTGTAGTCATATTTATTACTTGTGTAAAGTCTTAAAATATTATTAAAGTATTTATTATGAATGGAATCCTAAACCTAAAGGTAAACCACGTGCTAAGTGAAGGATGGTCAATTCAAAAACGAGGAAATGAACGCGCTTGTATGGCTTTTTGTCCCAATGATCTATTGGTTGGTTGTAAACCATCTTTTACTTTTGAAAATATAAATTACAAGTCCGGTCCATCCCAATTTGAATTATGTTCGGATTCAATCCTTTCTAATAGCATCTCTAGGGGAGTATACAAGGGAGTAAGCGAGTCTTGTTTGTCTTGCGACGTAAGTATTTTCCTCCTCCAACACAATACACATTCAAGTAGGCAAAATTTACATATTTTTTTCAATAAAATAATGTTGCATACTACAAAAACAATATGTATATTGGGATCCCACCTATTTAACAAGGATAAAAGTAAATAATACATTCATCGTTGATACAATCGCATTCCCTCGTCTATTGAAGCAGTCAACTTTCTTTATGAAACAAATGATTAGACAACATACCACTTAAGTTGTTAAATTACAAATTTGTCAATTTTATTGACACACTCCCTTAAAGATACTCTAAAATTTGTGTTGATTACCGCGTTTTTTCTCTATGAAAACACGAATGAATGCTTTGTTCAAACGTTTACGAGTTTTATTGGATAGTGCGTGTCGTTTTGCTGCAGCAGATGAAGCCTATGCATCATTACATTTGTGCCTATCTACTACCCTTTATGGAGTAGTTAAGCTTATCAACAGAGTAGATGATCGAATGGAAAAACCCAATTTGTTGGAGTAGATGGATAATTGTGGAAGGCAAAAAAAATAAAAATAAGAAACCAGTGTAAGATATTAGGGCAGTGATTGTTTTGAAGAAGCCCAGAAGCAAACTTTTTTTTTACTTGCATGGCTTTATATCTATCAAATTTTTAGTTTTTGGCGGTGGAAAAACCCAGAAAGGCCCTTTGGTTTGTTGTGATATATACAAGCGAAAGTGCCGTAATGATGGGTTCAATTTCACTATTCAATAAGAAAGAGAAAATATTGAACTTAAATTTTTTTAATGATCATCTGATGATTTTCGACCCAAAAAAAAAATTTGATTAGATGGTGGGATTGAATCCCTCGTTCAACCCCCTCACCCAAATCCCCCTCATTGTAATGGACTGATCATGGCCTTTGAACTTGGGTTAAACAAAAATAAAGCGGCCCAGACCATAAATGGGCCGTGATTCAAAATTAATTGCTTGTAGTCTTGTAACACAACTGGCCCAAGCTTCAGCTCACATCATCTGAAAGGGAAAATGATTGAACCAGCTTCACCAAAATACATCTAAAACGAATGAAGCTTTTGAAGTTTAAGTTCTCATTTTAATTGAAAAAACTTGATAACTGATAGGGTTGAAAAGAAGGAAAGATGTTGCCCTATAACTCTACCTCCTTTTCCAACTCTGCCTCTCCTATTGTGTCAACTATAATATTATGAGATTCATGTAAGACTTCAAATATTACCACCGACCAAAAAGAATAATACTAGAGACACCACATTTTCTTAACCGCATTATATGAGTGAGGTTCACCGTTTACATTAGTTATTAGAGCCCGAATTGTTTAAAAACATCACTTGTAACATTAGTTGGATAAGAAAATACACCATAGTGAACACAACATGGAACATTCCTATTATCTATTCATCAAACTTTGATATGTGCTTAATAATTTTAATCTTGCTTGTGCGTCAAATTATGATATGTAAGACGTATGAAGTAGGAAACGAGGCATGTAGTTTACTTGTCTAAATACCATATGCAAAACCTAGAGTTTATATAAAACAATTTTGTGATAGAAACATGTCTACTTTTTTCTACATCATTCCATTATAAAATTTCTTGGAAGAACCACAAACCACTGCCTCTCCAATTTTCTAAAGCATGAATCACGTGGAATGCATTTTGAAGCGGCAGCCGAATTATATAATATATATATCGATGGCAATATATAGGACTTAATTCTATTTCCCAAGTTCCAATGTCTCGTACAAAAAGGCTTAGACTTAAGCACCATTCACCGAATTTAAGGAACAAAATTCAGACCCCCGCAAACACCAAGGCACCTAATATTTTGACCCAAAACTCAAAACTCAAGATGGACAATCTCGCAGTTTCAACACTTCTAGCTTTATCAGATTCCTACACACCCCATATGCCTTTCACCATCTCAATGCTTGTGCCCATTGTGCCGTGACTTGCAATGTGCTAGCTTAAGCTAAGCTAAGCTGCCGAGTATTTTGCCTATGCTTTTCGTTATCATTCATTCCCCACCTTTTTTGTCTTCAAGATGGCCTTGTTTCTTGTTTCTCTTTAACCTATGGTTCCAATTTCAAGCTACAATTTACAAAAGTGAGGTGTCAATGTGGCCCATGTACTACACAAAGTAGGATTTTGCCAAGGTCTGTTATTCATGTGTACGTGAATATATTCCAACTGATGATAAGATATGATGAGCCCTACATGTTCAATTATTAGACATTGTCCACACGTGTATAGGCGACTGACCGTAACACAGCTCCACAACCTACTCATGTCTTTTGCTCCCTGCTCCTTGATCATTACTGCTGACACTGTTAGAAGAGGTGATGTAGTTGCTTTCCTTCTTACTGGGCAGTGCCTTTTGTTTCCTGGGTATGCATTTTGCTCTCACTCCACCTATCTCTGTTTCCTCCAATTGCAACTGGGCACTCCTGCAAAACCATTCGTATTTAAAATTAATTAAAACATTCAAGTTAGATTATTAATATAAACTATTATTAATCAAAGAACATTATGTCATCAATAAATAAAATTAAGGAAGAATGAAAATAATGCAGTCAATTTATCACATCAAAGAAGTCAACTCCCTCAATTAAACAAACACTAATTTGACTCTCTGCATGAATGAAAACTTGAAAAGGATGTTCACGTGAAGAACTCACGGAATTGAATTCTGTTTTTGTCTCCCACTGAATATTTTTTGAATTAAACCCTAAAACTGCAAACTGTAATCTGCATGATGGATTTTGGGGGCCCACATTTTATATATAACAAAGCTCCTTAATAGCTTAAATTTAAACAATCAGAGTTTAATTAAAACAACTACATCATAATAACAGTGCGTTGTCAAGATGACTATCTATCAGTCTGCACCAATGTAAGGAGGCAGCCAGCTGGCTATGTGTCAAACGCCGTACGAATCTTTCATTCAAATAGAAAGAAGGCAGACCAAATGGGCTATCAGAGAATCAAAATAAAATTCTGACCAGAATCCCCAGAAAGCCAGGGAAAGAAACCAGAAGATGTACATTTGCTGAAAGATAACAAGCACTTTCAAAGTGAAACTTTTCCTACATTCACCTATCAATGCAGATGCTTCTTGGTTAAAATTAACACCACCAATGAAGACTATGTTTTATCCTTAACAGGAATAAGTAATCTTACAGTTATCACATAAATTAATCACATTATACATTACATTTCTCACAAAGATAAAAGCTTTTGGCATGTCATATTTTATATACCCACTATTTCTCTGACAATATGATAAATGTAAAACCCGTCATTATGTCATATGGAGAAAAACTTTCATGAACTGAGAATACCACTATGGTGGTAGCCCATTACGCTACGTTAATGAAAAAGTTGAAACTTATGACAATACGTAATTAGCTTAGAATAGAGTTACAATATCCTTGGTGTACATAAGTTTTTCTCCACTATATGACACAGGACCCACATATTGCAAGAAGAAAGTTGTATATAACACGCATACAATAGTTTTCACAAAGATCCAAGAGATCCGCTTGCATACTTCTCATATTCTTTTGGTGCGTCACATCTCTTTGTTAATACTAGTTTAACAAGCAATACTAGTTTAATGACTTCATTTGTGTGCAATTATGGAGAACCAGTTGTAAATGCAATAATTTAGAAGTGACAATTATTAGTGTGTTAATATTAATTAACTAGATGAAATTCCTATAGATTATAAGTTGGTGGTTCTCATTTATCACACATGTAGCAAGCCCATATTGGCCTCATATCATTTGGGGAAAAATAATTATTGTACATACGAAAATATGATTAAGAGGCTACGAACCTAACACCATCAATGCTTCCATAATGTTGACATTTCTAAAGAGCCTAAAGAAAAATAAAAACAAAAAGTACAGCCTAAAATGGAAATGGAACAAGCAGCACACAAAAAATTGAATGCGGAAAATACTTACCGATCTGCATTGTAAGAAGACGACCTCTTCAAAGCTGGAACCGCCTCTTTCTTTGTCTCAATTAAGCTCCCGCTAAAATACTCCTTATCTTCCAATTTAACCCCCGCGAAATTCGAAATTACCGTCTCAGTCCTCACCTGATTCCCCACGCCGCCACGTGGCAGCCTAGCCTTGTAATGCCCAATCAGCGAGAATCCTTCCTCCTTCACCGCCGTGGACCCGCAGTCCCTGAACGAGATCGAGCCGCACGATAGCAACTGCATCAGGACGGACGAGGCCTTCATCTTGCCACCTGGACAAACCTCCGCCGTCCGATGTAAACCCTCATCGCTCGCCCCGTTAGTGCAGATCACCAGCCGTCCATCCGCCTTCATCAGCGACTCGAGCGTTTCGGGGCTAGAATCCGACGGCGGAGGCGAAATCTCGCCCCGGCTCAGCTCCGTACTCTGACTATGAATCTGAAGCACCTCCTGTTGACTTTGACCTTGGACTTTGTCGTCGCGCTCTTCTCGAACCACACGTCGTCGGTGCCGCTTGTCGTCGGTCTGAGTAGACGCGTCCGCGGCAGCTTTGCTGGCGGACTCTCCGACCGACTCGGTCTTGTACACCTTGTACTCGTTCAAGTCAATCGAGCTCCAGGACTGGTTTCGCCGGCGCACGATCAACGGAGAATCGAAATCGTCGCCGGACTTTTCAGCCTCCGGCGGAGGTCTCAGGGACCTCGACGACGCTGATTCGAGAGCCAGAGAGTTCACAGGCGGGTCGAGAAGCTCCGAGCCTTTGAGAACGTACTCGTGGCCGTGCGACGGGTGTATGAAATCGTTTTCCGACAAATCATGCCAAACGAAGCCGGTTTTGTAGCTCCTGAAATTTCAAATTCAAAGAAGTCAAAAGATGATGAGACGGTGGAGGAAAATCAGGAATTAGATCAGACGGTGGTGAGCTCGTACCGTTTGGAAGACCAGGAGTACAGAGAAGCCATGCCTTTGCCACGTAGCAAGTTCAAGCGGTTAATGACATCTGTGGAGAGAGAAACATACAAAATTAATGTGATCTGAGGAGTTGAGGGAGTGTTTGGTTGGTGAGAAAGTAGAGAGAAAATCATAAAATCGTATAATTTAGTTACCTCTAAGAAAGAGACCTCGAGGAGAAGAGAGAGGAACTTCCATGAAGTGAGGGTGCTCGAGCTGGCCGTTCCTAGAGATATAGTAAACGACGGGGACTTTTCTCGGAGTCATGGCGAGGTTGGGAGTTTCAGTAATGGAAGTCCGGTTCGGGCTGGTTTCCGAGTCTCGCCATTTACTGGGGATTTGGAGGTGGGAGGGTCGGCCTCTGGAAGTGACAGCCATGTCTGTGTGTTAACAGAGAGTTGGAATCAGAGAAGGATATTTGGTTACCGAGAAAATTATGTGGCAGCGAGCGTGTGAGAGAAAAGTGCGGGAATTAATGACTAGTGGGGAAGGAGCAGCTGGGAGAGAAAATGAGAGGAGGGGTTGGCATGTGTTGTAACTTATATATGGAGAGAAGAAAGAGGAAGGTGTGAATGGGGAAAATGGAAGATTTTTGGAGGGCAGGATGTATTCAAAATGGGGATGCGGCAGACAAGCGCTACCAAACAAATACGGGCCGTTTTAGATTTCAGAACCTTGGCAATACCTATCATGCCCTCAATTTTTTTAATTTTAGATCTAAAGGGCAAATGTACCGTATTAGATTTATGTCGTTTGCAAATATATATTACATTAATAATAATACAATTAATCATTTATTTGATTTTTAGCGACTCTAGGTAATTTTTTGGGAGTTTCACTAAAACACCCAAAATGGGGGTTGAAATTATAAAAAAACCCAAGCACTATTTAAACATATAAACACACCCAAAACCCATCATTACACACACTCAAAACCCATTTATAAACACACCCAAAAAGTTGACTTTGTGGTTGATTTTGGGTGTGTTTCTATGTTTAAATAGTGTTTGGGTTTTTTTATAAATACATGTCTAGAATTGGGTTTATTTATAAATTTGTATAATTTTTTTCTCCTCTTAATTAATAGTTAGTGATGAAGACAAATGAATTTTATAATAAATGGAGGTAAAGGTTTAATTCAAGTATAACGTAAACTCGGAGTAAGAAATTCAAAATAGTTCATTTTAAGTAAACGAGATCATATTTCATATCCCTGTTTATTTTTCAGAATATCTTCATAAGTTATGAATGCATACGAGATCATGCTTTATATTTCCGTTTATTGGATTTTGATTATAAATAAAGTCTTCTCATACACTTGAGGTTCCCTAAGAAATTAATTAATTAATTTTAAGGAACAAACAATCATGAACACCTTTATGCAATTCAACTCATGCAATCTGATGAAGCTCTCAAGCCCTAAGATTCTTTCATGAACGTCCTTTGTCTTGAAAAGTCTATTGCAATTCCTCCGGTCCACATCGTTTTAGACGTGTTTTCTTGGGTTCATTCCCTCTTAATAATATTCAATGAAAAACCTTTCTTACAAAATTCAAACACACTACTAGATGGGTTGACTACTCATGGTATGTTTAATTGTTTCCCTTTGGACCACCTAACTTTGACTAGGAGGCCTTAATTGCATTTTCAACGTCCTTTCCGCACCTCTGAAAAGTTACTAGAAATCGGGTGGACCCCCAGCCGACGTGGCGTGCCCTCCTAAACCTAAATCGTTGACCATGATATGGTAGTGTGTTGATTAGATTGGACAGCTCTGATTAGAGTTCAGAGGACAGGTGGACGGTCCAAAAGAGCCGCTTCAGAGAAGTACAGTAGATCTCGGGGTAAATGCTGCAGTGAAATATTTTCATGTTGGCTGTCTTTTAGTCCTTGTCATCATCGTTCTTCGATCTTCTCAGGTACATTAAAACGTCGTCGTTGTCTGGCGTACCGTGTACATTTGAGAGTAGGGGAGTAATGTGGTGGACCCCAGTAGCCCATATGTGGTGGGGGAGGTGACACAGTATTTCTGTGAAGACCCAGCCGCGCTGAGAGCTGGGGACAAACTTAAACTTTCTTCTGTTTCCTTTTTAGGGTTTCATTTCAAATTCAAATGCAAATTAATTAAAATGGGTCGTTGTTTTAGTCTAAGTCATCGGCAAAATAGTCCAAAAGTTAGAGGCATATTTTCCACGAGATTGGAGGAGCATTGGCACGTGGGAAGGGGCACATGCATTCATCCAACGACTCTAGGTGAAAAAACCAGATTGACATTGCATTGCATTGCCCCAATTCAGCACAGCGTGCACTCCATTGTCTTGTCTCCACCGACCGACTCAACACCATCTTATATTGATGAATAAACAAATGCAAAGCATATCTCTTTTAGGCATAATTGGACTCATGATTTCTGAATTTACTTTTTGATTAGTTCTTATAGTCCTCTAATTCGACTTCGTGTGACATGTATCATCTTATTGTTCAATTTGTCAAAATTTCATTCCGTTTAGGGGCAAAATGGTCATTTCATGTATTTTCTTGTTACCTTCCATCGTTTTCTCTCTAGAATTAGCTGTTAATCTCACCGAAGTCTTATCCCCAAATAAATAAATAAAAAATCTTACCAATGGGGTCTAGTCTAGTGTTAAAAGACGTTTACTTGAGTACCAATAGTTTTAAGTTTGAACTCTCATAGCACTTTAATAGTGTGTCTGTGAAACTGATGGAGCCAATTAAGCCCACAATGGTCATTTTGAAAATATATATTTATGTTATATGAATGAACATGAATATGAACATGAATATGATCATGAATATGAACATGAATATGATCTATTGAGGGTTCTACAATGAACATGAATATGATCTATTGAGGGTTCGTGACACTTGATAATATATAAGAATGACTCACAATTGAACTTAAATGTCCATGACACACTTGATAATTTGCAAGAAAAAATCATAGTTTGTAGTTTGATCTGATGGATATAAAGGTCCAATGATGTAATCATTTCTAGCTTGAAGATCATTTTAATCATTTTTAAAAGATAAGAATCAAAATCTTACGTATCTCGCCCGTCTATGTGTTCATTGTTGTATATCCTCTGATAGAGACATCTAATCCAATAATTTTAGTACTTCACTTAGCATCCAACACTCATGAGGCACGACATCTTTTTGTGACCAAGGCCTTTTGATGATGCTTTTGTGAACCCAACTGCATCCATCAATATCAGACATGTTCAGGGGAACCGAGATTACCTCACCGCTTTTGCCTTTTGCCATTCTTTTTGCTTTTTTGTTTAATATATTATAGCTGCATTACAAACCACTTTGTACAAGACCATTTCATAGATGACAAATGTCAAGATTATCTTCAATCTAATATTGGGTCCCTTTTTATTAAGAGTATCTCACGTGAAAAGATGAAAACTGTTTTAGTTTCTAAAAAATAATAGACATTTTTATCTAGTGTTAATTAGTTTTGAATTGGATGCTTTTCATTCTAATATAGTATTTACGTGTTAAGAGCATGCACAATGGGCTCCCTAAACCACATTCGTAGACAAATTTTAGGGAGGAATGATAAAAATGCAACTCCAACCACGCTCCCTATCCACCTCCTAAAATAGGGAGTCCTTTATGAGCTTCTAAATCTAAGAAGAGAGAAAAGACTCATAGTGGCTCCCAATAATTTAATGAGTATTTCAAACCTTTATTTAATGCTAACCATTTTTTATTTTATTTTTTAATAGAGATGGACCAATCAGAAAAGAGTTATAGCATTTATGACTCTCCAAATTATGGAGTATGGTTAGAGTTGAAATTTTTTAGAGAGCTCCTAAAATAGCTTTATTATATTCTTAGCCAAATTTTAGCTCAGAAATAGAAAGCGTCATTGTGGATGCTCTAAATGATGCTAAAAATTCTTCGTTCTCTCCATTTATTGGCATTTGATCTCGAGTTGTATGCTCGGCTGTAAACCCATGTATATCAGTGCTTTTAATTTTGGAGGAATTTTTGGGGACCAAGGACTTTTCTGCATGGAAGAGTTACTAGGGCAGAGGAGTGGCATATATAGATATAGTTTGTGTAAGCTGTTCCTGTGATATATGCACTTTATCTTATGGTTGGCTACAAGGGGCAAACTTCTCTCCCCACAATGATTCTACCTGTGCAATTTTCCATGGTGTTGCAGAATCCCATACTTCAATTATCTTCGATTGCTTTCTTGTATTGAAGTCGTGTGGTCCTTGGCTGCACTTCATTGACAGACAAACTACACCCTGCAGTTCTTTAGAAGCTCTGCCTATAAACCAGTACTGTATAATCATTTGGAAGGAAAGAAATTACCACAGGAATTTCAAAAGGGAAAATAAACCTTCCCTTTGATTCTTAAATACATCACCAGTTCTTTAGATGCATGCTATGCGAACCCAAATGCAAGTCCTGCCCACAAATCTTGCTGCAAAAAATTATTTGGAAGCTGTTTGATGATGTGGTAATTTAACATAAGCTGCCCGCAGTTGATTACTTACAGAACAAGAAAGAAACACTTAACTACAAAATAAAACAGGAAAAAACAAGTCTACCAAAATCCCACTTTTACTTTGGTGCCAAAAGACCCTTTCTACATTAGTATATACCGCGATTCGCAATAAGTTTCTTGCTAGTTGAATTCCATTACAATACTTTGAATGGAGAATAAATATTCACTTCAATCCACATGAGGCATCGGGTAGCGGCACAAGGGACACAAGTGACTGGTTTCCAACCACTGAACAATGCAAGCTTCATGATAAACATGTGAGCAGGGCAAGGAAATAACTTCAACACCAGCTTCAAAGTTCTTCATACAAATAACACAGTTCTCCATGACTCCAGAGCTATCTAGTCTCACTTTCTCCAAACTGTCAATAGATGATTTAGTTGCAGGGATAGGCTTCACCTCATCTGTTTCAACGGATTCCCTTGTAACCCTTTCAATGACATCTTCTGGATTAATAACATTTCTGCTCATTCGCAAAGTCACCTCCTCTACTTCCACAACAATAGGAAGCATGCAGAGGGTTGATTCAACCGCATTAAGTACTTTTCCCACAATAGATGGCTGCTCATCTACTGGGACATGCATTCCGGAAAGAATTTCAGTCATGAGCATGGTACCACTTTCAGATAACAGCGTGCCACGAGGGACCTTAATGGTTTCTTGGGTTACAAGGGTTTTCAATTGCGGAATGATTCTTGGAACATCATCCTCCTCTTCGTCAAACCAAACAACTTCGTAGCACTTGTAGAGCATAAAATTGACTGGAAGCACGCAGGCTGAAGGCTGGGACTGCTGCAGGTCCATGTTGTTGGGTTTTCCTATCTTCCACACATTGGTTTTCTGCGACACATCGCTACGATAATGTATGTGGGTTAACATGCTTGAAAAAAATACCGAAATCTGCAGAAGAACCGGCAATGGTCATTAATGGGGGATGCTGCTATTCATTGCCACAACAAAAACAATGGGTACTGGTATACCGTAACACTTGGGATTCAAGAGGCATGGGCAACTCAAAAGAAAGCTACAAGCTTTACATTCTTCAAGAAAAATCAGTATGAACAAACCTTCTCTTTCCAATTTTAACACAATGAGACCCAATTATTCAAATTTGGGGGCTTAAATTTGCTTATAATATAACCTTTTAGCCAAGCACAATCGAAAACAGAGAGGCCTAGACCGCCTGGCATCAACTCTTATAATTA